AATCAAGCTGAAACCCTTTGTGTCAGCTAAATTTGCCCAAAATGCAGGAAATAACGTTTCAGAGGGTCTAGATTTCAGATGTCGCCCCTAATGCAAAATTCTGTGCCACCGCCTCTGTCTGGGCACGGTTAATTTTTAGTTACTTTTTAAGTATAGGAAGTGGTTAAGGATAGGAATTCTATTGATATCCTTATCCGATTAATTCATTTATTTGTGAACGCTCGGGTCATTTGTAATCCGTTTGTCCGGATTAACTTTGAGAGAATGCCTTTTCCGGTTGAGTGGCATAACACCGTAGTGCCTCGGATCATCGGTAAATGGTCCCGATTATTATTTTCATCAAATCGAGATCTACTCGATCTGTCCATAGTCGGTAAAATTAATAACAGTGTAAACATGAGGGCAGCTGCTTATTTCCCCGAAGGAATGTGCACCCCAAACTATGCCCAAACCTAAAACTTAAATAGATCGTTGGGTCAACTTACTGACCCGCGAGTGGAACAGACCTCAGACTACTAGTCCTCAGACAACCAATACAATTCTTTTCTGAGACTAGTCTGAGGACAGGCGTATTCATCTCCTTTCACACAAATGCCCAGTTTAGTGGGTAAATTGCTTTAAAAAATACGGTTGAGAACAATTTCTCCGGCCTCATGTCGTTCCGTGGCGCGAGGGAATAACATATCATTGCATGACTGGTGCGACCACTCACACGAACGTAACCGAAGTTACACGGCAGGATTCTCGATATCGCCTCACAGCCCCCGGCTTTTTGTTAGAGTGAAAACACCAACACCCAGACTGCATCGCATAATCACGGGGCTACAACATTCTCATATATGGCCAAGACAAATAAATATTCCATTATTTTTTTGTAAATTTTATATTTTATATATTTTTATGTATCATGTCAAATTATTAAATAAACGTTACATGGCTGATTCTGCTGCAGGAGAAAGACAGTTTGATCAGATTATTATATCACTGGGGCACTACTCGTTTCTTTTTATTACATTACTTGCATTACTTCTGTTCAGACGTGGATACTTAAGACCTGCTTACAAGTTTTGATTTTTGTTGTTTTTATGTTTCGAAAATAAAATAAAAATGGCTAAAATACGAATTAGTGTTGTTGTGTTAGAGTGGTCGCGGCCGAAATAACAAACGGTCACAGCCGCGACTTTCGCTTTCACTGCGATTTTTTGCAATGAGTAATAACACCTCAACAAATATTATTAAAAAAAACAAGAAAAAAACAACATATGAAGATATTTACGTGCGTTGATTTTAATTATTTAATAACTTTTTTTGCGCGCGCGGATTATTTTTTGTTTAATTTTGATCCCATTCCACCAGAAATAGGATGCGCTACGTTAACACCAACAAAGTAATTAAGAAATACATACAAACACACATAATGAAAAATTCCGACCATCAATATATCCTCTTTGGTAAATATGTACCGAATAAGTCGTACAAAACAAAACGTGCTGAGCAAATACATCGTAGTCATCACTCTAAAATTAGACAGAATAAACACACGCAATGAAACTGCACCGCACTAAATTGGGGGGTTCTCACGCTTGGTTTGAGAAAAAGGCGGGCTTTCTCACGAAATCTTCACACGGGTCGCTATTTTCGTGTTGGGACAGTTCGAGAATTTTCAGTCTGCACGTGGATACCCGCATCCACTAACCGCCATTTTGTTTTTGAATTATTGGCATATGCAAATGAAGCTGCCCTTATTAGAACCAAAATAAATCATGCACACGTTAATTTCTCAAGTTGCCAGCCACGCTATTCGGTGAAGAGAGATGGGGTTTCACACTACGAACTTTGAATATTTTCTACAAAACACCATCGTTAAATTGTGCACATTCACATGCATAGTTTTTTTAACAAAATTCTGAATATTTAGGATGTACTTTCCCGTTGCGAGGTGTTGAATTGCAATTGGTTGGGGGTTATTTTCTCTACTGGAATGTGAACTATTTCGGAGAGTATCAGTGCACAGTAAAATTCCCACTTTTTCGCAATTTTTTGGTGATCAGTCCGATATTCCAGCCACGTATTAGTTTCGACACTATTTTGCCGCTTTAGTATAAAACTTTGTCCATGTCCCCCCCCGTATTTCACGCTTATTCGTTATTCACATAACCTCAATGTGTCAGTATAAACAAAATTGGAACTTACAGGAATTCGTCACGCGAATGACACGAACATGACATGAACATGACACGAACATGACACGAACATGACATAAAAATGACACAAAAATAACCAAATCTCGACATTTTTGAGCAAGATGACGAATATAACATAAGTTAATAAATGTACTATAGGTTCAGCGCCGATTCGCAATGGATATGTATAGTGTAAAACATGTTGAAATAGCTGCACACAATTCAATCGACTTTTACTTTTGTTTAATCGTTAGATTTTCAACTAGCTACTTTGTGAGAACATACTTTCTGTTAAATTAGCTACATTTTGAATAGCCGAAAAGTACGGATTAACTAAATTGGAGCTAAAATACCATGCTAGTCAGAAAGTTATGCAGTAATATGTTTAAATTAAGTATCCATTACTTGTTTCAAAAGTGAAAAGGATATTAGATCACGAGACTGACCAGATAAATTGATACAAGAATTTGGTATGATTAAATATTAACCTTAACATGCCCAGTGTTTTTGTGTCAAACTACTGAATAACATAATGCATGCTGGGAGTTCTCACGTGAGAACACATTTTATCACTCTGTATAAATAAGTCCGTGACCTTTTTTTTATTTTTTCAAAATATAGTTCTTGACTTGTAATATAAAATAAACGTGTTATAACTATCATATTTAAACAGACTGTGTGTTATTCTTGTGTTTTAACTTCGTAGTCATGGTAAAGATAATAACACGTTTTTTTATCAAAAATTTGGTCTGTGACTCCATTGACCATGTATAGCAACAACAACTCTAGTCACAGAATATCAGCATTTTTAAAGAAAGAATTACAATTTTATCGAGCAATTTTCTCGTTTATGTTTGCTGTTCTGTGTTACGATTCCGCTACAAGTATAAAAGTTGCTTGAACGTTCAATACTGAATGTTAGTTTATCGCTAAAAAATATGACGTGAATGATGTTATAAAGCGCACACATATATTTACCTTTTGTTGGTGTGAATTGAAGTTTTATTCGCCGCGCCACCTGTGTAGTATTCCTATAGCTTCACGTCCGTAGTTCACGTGGTTCTGGTTCGTACAAAACCAGGTTTGTTTGGACAGTTGGTTAACTCGTCAAATAGGTCAACAATGTTCGAAGCTGACCGTCAATTGTATGGATTGGTTACGCCCTCATCCCAATATTGTACAGTATTTATTTATTTGTTTATTTACTTATTATATATTTATTAATTTATTTTATTTATTAGAATACATCTTCACCCGACCTCCCCTTAGCCGGGTTCACGTGAATAGATTGCGTCACATTTCTAGTTGAAGCTAGTGTGGTTTGAAAGTGACGCCATTCGCTGAAATAATGAGTCGAAGTTGTACTTTAAAGGGCGGCGGTCGTCGCGCAGGTGCGAAATTTGTGTTGAAAAACATTGATTTTCTCGCAATCCAACGCGCTTTTCTAATGAAATCACGAGTGCGAGTTTTGCAGTGAGCGCCACTTGCACTAATTACCACCGGCGACTCCTTCGATACCTTCAAATCACCAACAAAAATATCTAATTAAAAGCTTGGTAACATCTCAGTTTGTACAAGTTGGTATGCGTGACAGTCAAAATCGCCATCTTTGTATATATAAGACCCATATTTCACGCATGCGTGACGCGACGACCACCGCCCTGTAAGCATAACAAATCTTTATGTTGCTGTTTAAAGGCAAGCAGAACAGCATTTTTAGTAAATTGGAAATGTTGTATCTTCTGGAAACCCAAACTTTCATGACATAAACAACGTGGAAGTGCGGTAGTAACACTCGCTAGAATCTACTTGATTCAAAATTGAACATCGGGAAAATTTGAAGACTGGAAATTATGCATAATACTGAAAGTGGGGGGGGGGCGAAACATAACGAACCTTTTTTGTCGATACAAAATACATATATTTGTATACGAGTACGCCCGTTATCACAGGATCAATGCAAATAATATTTAAAACGAATTGAAATGTGTTTATGCGTAGTAGTTCATCATTTGAGATGTTGTTTATTTAATTTAATTATTACAAAAAACTAACATGCAATTAAAAAAAATTAAATAGAAATTTACCACCGCGTGGGAATTGGCCTACCTCATTTGTTTAATTGATTGACCTCATTTGACCTAATCGCTTGTTAGCGTGTAAGAGTATTAGTGGGCCGAAACACAATTTGTTGACTCGATATAAACGGCAATTTGAGCAAATATGTTATTTCTCGTTTTCAACAGCAATATTTATTTAGTATGGAGTATATAATTTTAAACGTATGATGACGAAAACGAACATAAATGAGTTAATGTATTCAAGGCAAACGTACCAAGAGGGATGTCACATTTCCACATAGTATCTCTTTAACTTCGTAACAGTATTTCAGTCAGTCAAATCGACAGTGTCACGTGATGTGTTTGGTTATCGACCAATCGGTGGGATAGGGTAGTTGACACCTGCTGATTGCACGCGTTTGCGCAGGCGCCTCCAATATGCAAATTACAGAAATCCAGTTAAGTTCGGCACGCCGTGCTGACGCTCTGAAACGGATGGATGCCTTTTAAAGAGACGGTACTGCGTTCACTGGGTGTGCCGAATTTTCTCCTTAAAAATCCATCCCCTTCATTTGCATAATCAGGCGGTTTATTTAGCGGCGATTGGAAGTAGTAGCGGTTCAGATTGGAACTAGTCGCAGTTATCTACACAGAGACAATCGATTCATTGTACCTCCGATAAACTAGACCCACATCCCAACAAGTCTACCGTCCCACTAACAGCAATTCACTCACATCGCAAAAGGAGTAGTAAAAAATGCCTCGCTCTTTTCTGGTAAAAAAGTGCGGAAAAAAGACTGGCTACAGTAACTCTGTTACGCTGACAGTTCCCACCGTGATGGTGCCGTCCCGACATGAATCACCGATAGATGACAACCCGCCAGCGTCGCAAACGGTGACACCTGCACCAGCAGCCATCAATAGCAGCGACATATTCCGGGGAAAACCAGCGGACATAGTCACTAACAACTGGAAAACTTTAAGTCCAAGAATCGGACCAATCCTACTGATACCGAAGTGCCTCTCTCCGAGCTCCGGAAGCGCATTTACCGCCGTCACCCCGCGCAACCAGCTGGAAGGTAGGGTAATTTCCACCTAAATACTTAAAATTGTTTTATATCCATGTGAGGTTCAATTTTTTAGTTTTTAAATTTCAGTTTAATATATCAACAATGTATATTACTGGGAATGCACTGTTTATAATCGGGTTTAGTTATGGAAAGCGGTGTTTTCTAAATTTGAATTGCATGGACAGCGTAAAGCGTGAGCTTTCAGGTTTGTGGAGAGTGTAGGGGTAGGGATTTGACTGGGTAAATTGAATCGCTCAAAATACTCCGTCATAAATTGTGAAGGGTCGAAAAAAACACAGTAACTAAGGGCTAAAATCTGTGTCAACTAATCCATTTTCAGGGATTTTATGATCGAACATTTTCCAATCTCTTTGAGCCGATTTGTACCTTTCTACAAAATTTCATTTTCTATTTTTGTCCGTTACCGTTTTTTTAAGTCCTAGCGTGTTCATAGCCTACTGGACAATTTGTTATGGCTTTTCAAGTAGTAACTCGTCAGGGGATATCAGCACCACTAGACATTTCACTAACATACATTTTTCATCGTATATATATTTCAGAATTCTCTAGTCAATACGCCGAATTTGGACACTCTGAAAATTACGAAAATCCGGCTGTGCCGTCCACAACTAGAAAAGAATTGGTGATGAGTAACGGCAAACCCGGTATGCAGATGGAGCTGAGTGGAGACGTACGACAGTGGCCGTGTGAGATCTCCTCATATACCGTCCCATCGCCGCCCCCGAATGGTAAGTCATCTGAAAACGCAATAAAATGGTATAATACTAACACTATCGATCTAAAATAATTTTTATTTTTTAAGATAAAAAAATAATCCAGTTTAATTAAGAATGTTGCTTTAAGTACATGCTATTTTGAATGTTCGGTGTTTACCTCTGACAGGCTCGTCTCTACGTGGTGGCGCTGCGCCGTAATACTGTAAGCGACCCGTTGCTAATGAATTTTCACTTTATTTTTTTTGCAGGTTTCAACAAAGCAATGGTAGAGCTTTTAAAGGACGGTAAGCTCAGCTACACCGATGTATATAGAGCACAGTTCGCGCATGCCGAGAAACAAATTCTGAAAACATTGACGACCGACCAACTTTATTGGCAGCACAGCCGCCTGTCCCCGTATAGCGATGAAATGGACGATGGGCTCGACTTCAAAGGAGATTTTGACTCTCAAAAAAATATGTTGTCGCCTATCGCCGGATCATTCGCTTGCGTGAGATGCAAGAAGGTATTCAGCACTCCTCATGGATTGGAAGTACACGTACGTCGGTCGCACAGCGGCAAGAGGCCGTACGCCTGTGAAGTTTGCAACAAGACCTTCGGACACTCCGTCAGTCTCAGCCAACACAAGGCCGTCCACACACAAGAGAAGATATTCCAATGTAAACAGTGCGGGAAAACTTTTAAACGTTCCTCAACTTTGTCTACACATCTTCTCATCCATTCCGATACCAGACCATATCCATGCGAACACTGCGGGAAGAGATTCCACCAGAAATCGGATATGAAGAAACATACATACATCCATACAGGTAAATATGATGTATTTCACTGTCCGTTAAAATTAACTAGCTTGAAATTACTGAACAGGTGGTTTTGACACCTACCTTTCATCGGTAATAATCAGTCATATCACACCAGTGATTATTCACTGAATCGTCGCCAACCGCCCTACCAAAATTAAGATAAATCTCTGAAAAGAACTACAAATTTGTTTATTAAATTCCATCAGCTTCTATTGTTTATTTTACGTCAATTTGGAGAGAAAATTGAGAAATGGATCTCTCCTGTTGAGACTCAATTTAACCGGTACCGTACCATTGTGCATTTGGAAATGAGGTTTCTTTTTAGGTGTGTATACTTATGTGTGAAACCAAACTTCCCGCTGCTGGTGCGATGGAATATTTGTTTGAATAATCGCTTTATTCTAAGGGAAAACCACGTTCACACTGGGAGACCGCGAAATGTGTGATTTTTCTCTCTCTATAGTTTCAATTAAAACATCACGCAAAAGAAAGCAGTATTCGTTGTTATGGAAACATGCAAATTAGACATTTTACAGCGAAGTCGTTCCGCCCCATACTACTGTAACAATATATTTGCACGAGAAACATAGTTCAAATTCGTTGAATTTGTTAGAACATAAACCAACCAATTGAATTTCAGTGATACTTATTGTTATTGGCTTATTATATGATTGTAATTAGATTTAAGTGGCGAGACTTTGTTATCGGCGGCCTGCAACAATCAAACCTTGCGCTATGCACAATGCACAGGGTTAGCCGCGGTTGCCGAAAATACATCGTAATAATGGCCACGCAGTCCGACGCTTTATAAAAACAACATCCATAACCAAGCAATGTTGCTATAAACCGGTCGAGTTCCTAGAGCAATACACGAACTTGAGAAGTTTTAGAATGATATCTTGTAACAGCGTATCGGAGTTGTCCTCATCACTGTGTTTAATGTGCTTATAAGTGTTCGAACTATGGCTGAATTAGCCTCGTAGCAAAAAAAAAAACCTCGCGCTGGCCGTGACTAGAAACGTGTAAATTGGATAGAAATAGTCCTGTGACATATGTTATAATCAATGCAGAAATCATGTCTCTGTCCGCACAATAACACTTGTTACCAGTATATCTTTGTTAACGGGGACTGAAATTCTCTCCAGAATAAACAACGGAATCCATTTTCTATAATTGTATAGTACGCTCCATAATGGATGACATGTCCTCGTTCGCCTATAGTAGTTCATAAAATGCTCTAACATGGTATAATTATATCATCTTCAACGCAAAATAACAATATGTGGGAATGGAATTTCGTTCATTGGTCATGTCTGTGGCTGGTTTGCGACAGTCATATCAAGTGGTATTTTTTTTAACGCAGAGCAACGATACAAACATGGGTCCCAGGGCCAACCCGCAATTGTCGCTGTTCGCGTGACTGCCCGCTGACGTCCGGGGTTCTAAGTCCACACCGCGTATAACTGTGGCACGCAATAATGGTCCTAGTATAGTTTTATTGTGCCAGTTGAAATACCTTTCCATCGACGATGATAGACGACCGACTCAATACAGTGCGATGACGCTGTTAACGCGTATGTATATACTCTTTTCAAAATGTTGATTCCACATTCGAGGTAGATGAAAATATAATAAACTATGACATAATTTTAGGCTGCACCTAGTGCACGAGTATTGGATGACGATGACAAAAAAAATGAAGTTAAAACCGCCTCTCGTCCCAAATATGAGTGAATATATCAATTTTAAAAGCGGTGCATGCTGTACACTTTGTCTTATTCGTGGTAAATCCACTCGAGCCTCCGTGCCTACTATACCCGATACTTTTTTCTTCTATTTATCCCTTTTTTTACCGGGCCCGCGATCTGAGATGTGATGTAATGTATACGGAATAATCCGGACGTGAGTCGACGTCATTTAGGCCCGGAATTTCAAACTGGAGCACCGTTTTACGTCATACTTTTTTATCGCCCGCCGTTAAAAAAGGAAAAAAAAAACAATCTTCATACTGTCGTCGATCTAGGCGGGTAAGTTTATGAGGCCGGCGTCAGAGTCGATTGTTGGGCAATGAAAACTGTATGAACTGAGAACCGCTAATTGTTATTCGAGTCAAATAGATAACAAACTCTTGATGAAGGTGGAATTTAGAATTGGAAAGTCACTCTGCGCACTCAAGCGTAGACATTTGATAATTTGCATAGCTGATAGAGTCGAGGACTCCTCACCGCGTTCTAAGTGTGTATCCCGATTGCCAGGCCTGTTAAAAGTCATCTATATTTTACAAAGACGGGAAACGTAATATAAAATATTGCACGGTTATTTGCACTCCACTCCTGGCGTACACGTGTATTCAATTGGGGTGCAGGAAGCGTGCACGCAACATTTATATCATTCTGAATGGAGAAGATGAGCAAACATTTGCGAGTGCTTTTTTTTTCATAGTCTGCAGCGAGCCACAATAGCAATGTATAACCCACTGGAGACTGTTAGGCTTGCCTGCAATCAAAACTCACGTATAGGCCTGATTGTATTAGCCTTGTAGACATTTAGCATTGATTTGACAAATCACATAAAGTTTTTCTTCCATTAAAATATCAGAGTATTGATATATTTAGTTGCTTGCTCTGTTTTTTTTCTTCCTAAAAGCATCGAACGTTTCATAGAATCCCGACTCCGGACTACACTTCGACTATATTCGGTCGGTTTTCGGGTTCCCACTCACCTTCCCGCCTGTGACGGGTTTTCCACGCAGTCCCTGTCAATTTCGAAGCTGAACCAAACTGATAACATTAACTTCATTGATGTAGTGTTGATAACATATCATTCGCATCAACGCATTCCACTGCACATGATGTGTATATAACAGGTCTGGACATGGTGATGTTTTTAACACCGATATTGCTTCGGGCCTTTTCGCAGTATATATTGAGGAGACGAAGCTTGGTATATAACGGTTGATTTTGAATCTGCCGTTTGTTGTTGTTGTTGTTGTTGTGTTTTCTTTGTTGGTAGTGACTATTGCGTTGTATCAGAAACAAGAACACATTACTATTTTTACGATTGATGCTATAGCTTTTTATCGGATTAAAAAACAATGGTGATTCGACATTTGTCTTAATTTTTGCAATGGGAATTTCGAGATAACAATACAGATCGTTCTTAGACTAATAAAACAGGTTTTAAATGCGAAATTGGACTTTTTCTAGGCGGCAATAAAACTATCAAACACGAGAAAGACAAATTAAAAGACCATTCTATAAAATGTCTGATCTAATCGCTGATAGTGATATCGACATGACCTAAATTAAGATAAATTGATCTAGGATTAGACACTGCAAATTATCCGGTTTGATCAGTGTTGATTTCACCAGCCAGAGTGCTTTATTAAAACAATATCGACGACCTTGCTTATAAAACGTAATTTCCACGCAATCACTCGATTCTCGTTCGATATGTGTAACAGCACACACGCGCGGGGACCGGTGATTTATGCACGGCGCTGCTGTTAAAGCATTGCTAACGACCTAGTTGAATAAGACGGGAAACCGTGGTTTCCTGATCCCATATCGTGACTAGTAGGCATATCAATGCCGCGTCAAATCTCCTCACTTACCTGCCATCAGTTCGCCACAAACCCTGCTTTATTTTGGTTTCCGAAAACATTTACGAAAATAGATTTATATTACAGTGGATGAATAGGAATTTGCGACAAACAATAAATCAGTAAAGATTGTTTACGACAAAATGACAAAATTAAAATAGTTCTCTTTGTTTGTAACTGGTATCATTTTACGGTGATGTTGTTGATGAAATCTATGAACAAAACAACAACAAAACAATTGTCAGAGCGCCATTTTACGATTATTCAAATACGTACGATTCGCTAATTGAAGAACAGAAAATAAAACCATGTGCCATATGTTGAAATTGGATTACAAATCAAGATATATTTGGTGAAAATGAGACATTTTATTTCGCGAAACATTCAACTTTGATGTAGCATATACTGTAATATAACCCAGCATTAAAAAAACGATCGTGGTATATAGGTGTCCGCTTAAACAGATTGTGTTGGATTCAGACCCGCCAACATACAGTATGCAGGCCGTATTTACCCAGTGTTGCCGAGACGGGACTTTTTCCGCCCAAGGCAAGGAGTCTCTTGTTCTCATCAACGCTTTATTGACCTTTTTAGCTCCACCGATTATCTCTTGGGGCTCGTACTTTGGGCGCTAGGCTGGTGCAAAGCCAACTGATATACTGTGTTGCGTGATACGCGGCGAGCTCGGGAATTCTTGTCGGACGGAGGCGGAATTTCCGCTATCTGTCTATTGGCAATAATTGATTTTCAGTTTATTTTTAAGTTTAAACAACATCAACTCAACCAATGAGTATAATTTTAAAGATTCTCTTATATAACTGTGCCCTTATATAACTGTACTGTGAATAAATGTACCAGCAAATTGGTCGTTTTAACGCGGAGAAGGGTGATTCGGGCAGTAGATCGTTGTTGTCATAAGAACGGCGTGTAAATTAAAACACAGTTTTTTCATAGAATTGTCGTTTTTTTTTTAAAACTGAAATTGGTAAATATTGTGTATGCCCAATGGATTGAGTATATATAAGGTAGTACATGGAAGATAATCCAAGTTATGAAATGTGCGGGGTGTTCACGTGCGCTCGCCGTTTGTAGCTATCTAAACATCGCGAGATAAACCGGTGAAATGGGGCATGTTTTGCTATTAATTTTGGGGAAACAGATTGGATGGCGCGAACGCCGCCTGTCACGTGCCCGCAGATAGACGGGCATACGAATAACCAGTCTGGCCGAACCTCAGTACGGTACGTGAGAAAAAAAATGGTAAAACATAATGTAGCCATATATCGTGTTCAAAAGTGCAAACTAATAAGTCATCCGCAAAGCACCTGAGTTAACAACAACTTCGTATAGACTGGTTGAAATTATTTAACTCTACAGACTTGTCTTGCAAAAGTCTCGACGTTATTTTCATGATTAGGATGACGTCATTTTGTTTTGAAAAATTAAATTGATTTTTCCCGGTGACGTGCCGTGATACGTACAAACGTTGTCTCGCAAAGCCGGGCCGGAGGGAAACATTTCTCTACGAAGCAAACACTCCGAAGAACGCCGGAAGAACATCCCATACTGCCAGATTGTCGACAGACCATCGTATCAAAATCGAGTTGCTCATCAGCGGTGTTATAAATCAAATTGCTCTTATTCTGTATCCCCTTTTGCACTTTGTTGTCACGCACTGCATTTGGTTGAACATACGGATAGGCAGCCGATCCCTAATGTAAACATTTCAGAGTTGTTTTCCAGTATGAAGCATTACGGGCCCGTTCTTCGATTATATTGATAGATTTCCAGTACATGACACAGTTTCGTTGTTTGAATCCGCATATTGCAGTATGGTTTTAATGTTTTAGTTAAAATGTGGTGGTAGTTGATTTCAGACACCTGATCATTATTATTTTCGTGTATACTGTTCAACAGGCGGCATTAAGTAGACCCACCCATTCACTGTCCCCGATACGGCCGACAAATCGTGGTCCTCCCTTGCCCGGCTAAACTAAATTGAACTGAACGTTTGAATTAAAACTGTTCGGAACTTCAAATTTATTTGGAGATCTTGACTTTTCTTCAGTTCATAAACAATTTTTTGGAGTGTGGCGTACTCACGTAGTTCATGAAACCGAAATTCAGTAGTTCTGCAGTTCGATATCTAATGTATTTTCTTTTCTTTATCTATTAGGTGAGAAGCCCCACGTATGTTTAAAGTGCGGTAAAGCATTCAGCCAGTCATCCAATCTGATAACACACAGCCGCAAACACACCGGTTTCAAGCCCTTTGGTTGTCAATTGTGTGGAAAGGCGTTCCAGAGAAAAGTCGACCTGAGGCGACATCTTGAAACTCAGCATCCGGGCACGAACATATTGGGTAACATGATCACGAACTTGAAATGAATCACGTGCGTGCATACGCCGTCTACGACGAGAATATTAAGAGAACGAAAGCTGTGACTATTATTAGTAATAATTATTACTAATAGTACTGATTGGATCTGAATTAAAAATTCTGAATCCGATGATTTTACCTATGATGCACCGCGGTTGGAACCTGGACATTATTTTTTCTGCATATAGTGTATCGACGCAGACGACTCTGAAGCAAATGCAACTGTCACAATTTCTAAGTGCACAGTTTAGCTGTAATATTATGCAGCTTATAAAGTAGTCACAGAATGTAGCTAAATATATATATATATAATAAATATTTAGAAAATTATAGCAGAACACATCACCAAAGAGGTTTTTTTATGATTCCGAAATCCACATTTTCACAGATATGCAAATTTATTGATTCGACCTTTGACACAAACGTTCCCTCGCAATGAATTTTCACAACTAATTGAATGTACAAACAATACAAAGTTGGTCGAATAACCGAACTTTGAGAAATAATTTGAAACAAAGGAGTGTTTATTTAACTTTATGTGACGAAGTTAAGTTACTACCGTTATGTACGAACGCACTGTTATGGTGAAGCTAAGTTTTAAATCTAGCGAATAAAGTCTGTTTTTATAATACTTGATTGTCGAGTCAGATGATTTCAATTAGAGGAGAATCATATTTTTTTCTGAGAGTGGATGGAGTTAGAATTGTCCGCCGGATTTGTATTTTTTCGTTAACTTTGAAAACATGCATAATTTATGATCTTGGAGGGGGGGCAAGCTTACCTCCAGTCTGTAACGGTTACTAATCGTGCCTCTGTCATGTTCGTTTGTTTGCCTCCTACCCACTAGAAATATAATCAGTCTCTTAAATCGACACTTGTCACGTGTCTGTGAGTCAAGAAATTTTGATAGAATTATTTGAACGATCATTATTTTGATTACAAAAACAATCTATTGGACATAAGTCACGTTGTACCGTCGGACTTTAGGCTAGAATGCATTCAATAACATTCTGTAGGACCCCTAAAGGTCACACATCCTGGTACTTTTGGAGGGTATTATTGGGGGTATTGTAATTTCCAATCCTATAATTCAGTTGTTTTATCCTTTTTACAAATAAGTGAAAACATACCCCATTGAAATATCGGGTAAGATTGTGAAATATCGGTGTCGCCAATTTAGAAAAAAAACAATATCGACTGTTGTAATTATGGGCGTCTGTTCTGACTATCGCTCAACATACAGCTTTCCAATAGATCACTCCGACACGTCACTGTACAATTAATAGGAAAAATTCAAGATTCTGTCATTGTGTTACACTATATGCACACCGTATTGAAAACTCCAAATCACACGGCTGTTAAACGCTTCCGGGTTGGGCTTAGTAGGCGTGTGATGGGGGGGGGGGTAACAAATTGAAAGCATGCGGAAGCGCCGACCATTAGGTAATAACGTTCAGATAAAGAGAAGTATTGCAATGCTATTGACTTACATACAGTCTCTTGTTTGTTTTTGATGTGTTTTTTTCAATAAATACAATTACGTGTATAAGACATGGTATGCAAGTTATTTCGATCCTACGTTGATGTTCCAGTGTACTGAACTCAAATAGCTTTTTTATTTGTCCATCTCCAATCGCTGCAAGGATTTGACAATATTCTGCCCAGGGAAAATACGACCAGGGCTTGAGGTGTTAGTGTGCATTTGACGTCATTACCAAAGCTTGAACTTATATGGTCTTGTTATACTAGTTATCAAGTTATAGATATTTAATACAACAGATAATGTTAGTGTTATTTATTTAGGGTTATTAGTTATTTATTAGACCCATAAAATAAAATAAAATAAAATAAAATGTTGCTCTATTGCATTGCTCTCCCCGACTGCGCTCTAAATTTGAAATGTATATAATTAATTACCGATCGACTCACAATGTGCCAAGTAGGACCCGAAAGTATGAACCGACCAGACGTGTGTATACTTGTTGCTGCTAGTTGTCGCTGCCGAGGTTAAAGCGCGGAAGTCGTCTTCTGCGCATGCGGCAAACGGTCATAGCGTGTCCGAGTCGGTTTTACAAACAAGTGAGCCATGAGCCTTTGCGTTTTAGTGTGCGTTGTCATGGGCAAGTGACGACCCCTCCGCCTGTAGTACCCGAAATCGTGGACTTGTGTGTCGACGCACCCCACGTAAAAACACAACTTTTGATGTCGAAATTCTTAAAAAAAAACTGTTCATTCGTCCATCGCTGCCACCCCTCCAAAAAACAAACATAACATGCACCACGATGAGAGTGTCATTTACGCGACGAGATATATTAACTAACTCGACTTTGAAGAAATTTAATCAGAGCCGCAGGTGCTGCTTTCGAACTGGGCCTGGTTAGCGCTTTAAAGTACCGCGATAAAGAAACTTGGCCGGCTTTCGAACTGGGCCTGGTTAGCGTTTTAAAGTAACGCAATAAAGAAACTTGGCCGTCAACATTGACATTGAATGTCCAGATTCCTTGATAGAAACTTAATATCAGTACATATACTGAATCAAAAATCTCTTTATATGGTATTATACATACGTGTACAGCATGACAAAAGAATCTCCGATGACACGTTGTCAAGAATTCATTGTTTGTTTATAACGAAATGAGTGCGTATATTCTCCCATTCAAAAGAAAATATGCCGTGGAATTTACAATCGGAATTATGAAATTATATACAGTATTTAATACGGCTTAAAAACAGCAACAAAAATAACCTATCGTTATGATCACAGCGTCTGATTATGTAATGCAACCGGGTGGTAAGATCGGAAGACGAAAAAGAGCATGACCCTTATAAGTATGTGGTTAGGGGTGCGGCATAGGGAGAGCAGAAATTTTAATATGTAAATAAAATAATATTCATATATAGCGATATATATATCGGAGCTACATGGATATCACGTGTGTCCACAGTTGACAGCGTATGGCATAGTTCGGATATCAGTCTGCTTTGGTCGCCAATAAACAAGTCTCACGGGTACAAGTAACTGGTTTATTGAGTACGAAAGAAGACAACATATTAGTATGCTTACCTGTAAACACTGGGTTATCTTTCTACTGAATTTCAGTAATTAATAAAGCGGACGTTAGTCATATGTGTAGACTTGAAAACTGTAAAATATGTTATTTTAGCTAATTTGTATAACCTGTAATTTCGTTAAATTAAGATGTAGGTCATTTAAGAGTAAATATAACATTCTCGCATTCATTCATTCATTCATACAGACAGTATACTCACGGTATTCATATAGAGTATTGTGGGGAAGGGATGGTTCGCACTTCACGCTTTAAAAAAAGCGCCTAAGTTACGGTTGTGTCACCATGATAGTTTTGGTCTATTCTTGGCTGGAGCAGCAGGCATCTTGTAAATAAACAACGCCCCACCCCCACCCAGCCCCGCCGCTACAAAACGTGTCCCTCTTTATACTTGGACGGAAAACCGCAATTTTGATGAATTCTTCTCCCTGAAAGATAATCACAAAATAATATCAGTGTGTATTACAACCTAGTCATGTCTATTTCTGCTTGGCGTTATTAATTATTCACACACATAACAGATGGAAGCTAGGTTGGAAGCAGCTTGTCTCGTTAACTTGTTCGCCAATTTTCCCGCTTTTGTCGCTATCTGAATGGGTTTATTTTCGGTCGTATTGCGTGCCGTGTGTTTGTCATCATTATTTTCTCTGACTGGACAACGATACCTGACACGTCGGTTATTTTTTTTAAACGATCGCTACCGGGCGATAAACTACATTTTGTATAATCAAATGGAAACTTCCCGCCTAAACCAGTAAGTTGATTGCCGACTGTAAGCAAGTTTCTAGCGATACGGTTTTTTTTTTCTAGAAGTTGACCACTTGAAATTTTGGGCGGATGAGAGGGTCGGTGCTAGAGTATCAGAATCTGCACGAATTAAACTTTTACGAACAAAATCGATATATTACAAATTAAAATAGCCACGTGCACAGACGAAACCAATTGTCAAGCATCGTCTTCACGGACTGCAGTCGACATACTCCACTCAAAAACACTGAAGCCAGAGCGGGATTAATTGCAAATGTCACTTTATTATGTCTCTTGTAGCCCATAGTACACGTTATGCTATTGTCACCAGTCTCGCTCGCCCGGCACCTGTGAACTGCAGATGCGATACGAGCTAGTCCCTTTCGGACCATTTGAGCGAAGGACGAGGAGCGGGAACACCAACATATCATAGGCACGACTTATTGAGCCGTACTGGGCATGTCACACTGCTTGCTTATCGGATTGTGTTGCTGTTTCTTGAATATTTGCGGGTATCTTAGATGTAGAATCGACAATGGAACAAGGAGAGACAACGGAATTAAAGCGCGGTGGTCGTCGCACAGCGCGTGTTCGAATTTCATGTAAATAAACAATGTATTTTACACGCGTTGTATACGTCGCTATGAGTCCCGTATCGAACAGGACGCGGCACGACGACTGCCGCCCTTTAAGTTTAGCTCCATTATCCCACTAAACGTCACAAACATAATCAACAACTGGTAGTCACGGTGATTTCTAGTTATAGTATATCATTATCAACCACGGATGTAATATTAGTCTCATATTTAGTAGGAAAAATATACGCCTAAATCTTTGCAAGATAATTGTGTAAAACACGCAATCTCTCGACAATTCTAGTCAAATTTGTGAAAGACGGCATTGTATCCCCAACTCCGCTTTTTAGAACCATGAAAATGTGTCGGTGCGTTGTAACAATAAACTTTGCTCTTGACTTAGGGATTTTGAGATTACGAATGAGGTTGACCCAGCCCGGTGACATATTCCAATATCAACAACAGAAGCTTGTATGGCGGCGCCGAGCGTGCGCTGTCAAAATAAACCAGCTTGAGAGCGCTCCCTTCACGGCAACAAAGAGACGTTGTTCAAATACAATGAAGCTAAATTGTCTGACATTTCTTCTGGGGAGCACAATGATAAAGAATTATTTAATTATTAACAGAAATTAGATGGTTTCTTTTAGTTGGTGGAACTACACAGACTTTTTATGACCACACGCTCCGACGCAAGATGTGATCAATCAATTCAACAGACCGACTACAATCGGCGGCCGTCACTCATTTATTTTCTCCGAACTTTTCCGCTCTCATTCTGTTATTTTTGGAGACTATTATCTGAACAACGATTTACCGTAATAAAACGGTATAACGTCGAATTACCGTGCGCAAT